CCTATGGCATATCCCCTGTTGTCACTGTATTTGATTTTGTTACCCTGGTATTGTATATACATTTATCTGAACTAGGGAAGAGAAGGGGAACACCAGAATGGTGAGACAAAGGACAAGGGGGAACCAATGCAACAGTGATACTCACAAGACACTATGTTGGCAATGATCTGTACAAGTTGGTGGTTGGAGGGAGGGAAAGCAGGAGAAAAATGAGGGAAGGGGTAACAAGTTTGACAAGAAATGTACTTATTACCTTACTTATGTAACTGTAGCCCCACTGTACATCACCTTGATGACAACAAAGATGTAATAATTAGGAATTAGTCAATTTTTTAAGCACAGATAGTGTTTTATACATTGGATTTTTCTTTCTTGAAATATCTGTTATTAGGCATGAAATGATGGCAAAGGAAATATATCAACGATCCAATAATTAATTATTATGTGTAAGTAGTAGACCTGATATCAGTTTTCAGGTCAAATCTTTATAAACAATTTCTCTGGTTTTTTGTTTTAGAAAAAATATTAATGTTAGCAATTTTTGTGGTTTTATTTATAAATAAGAAATGTTATAATAATGTACTGTAGACTAGAAGATTCTGATCAATTTAAGCATGAAATTTAGGATCATATAGGCAAGTTTCATGCCTACTTAACTTTTGTTTATGTAATTAACACTCTTTCTTACCTTACAGAGTTGGGTTAGGTGGCTCTCTGGCTTTTCTTTTCTTTTTTCTTTATAGTCCCAGTACAAGAGTCCAAACTCAGGGCTTCATACTCTAACTTGACTTTTTCACTCAAGGCTGGCACTCTACCACTTGAGCCACAACTCTACTTCCTGTTTTGTGTGGGTTAGTTAGAGATAAGTTTCATAGACTTTTCTGCCCTGGCTAGCTTTGAGGGGTTAGCCTTAGATCTCAGCCTCCTGAGTAGCTAGGATTACAGGTGTGAGCCACCAGTGGCCAGCCTCTGGCTTTTATTCATACTGGCTAACTAATCTAGCAAGATGGGTATCTCTCTACATTGCATTGCCTCTGCCTGTCTACAAGACTGTCCTGTCTACAAGACTCTTCTGATCACTTAGCACACAGAATATGCAGTACAGCACAATAGCAATATAAAGGTTTATTCCACACAGGCTTTTCACTGTCACCCTTCATTCATTCACAGAATGACAATAACATCAGAAGTTAGGTACAGGTCTATAAAGGAAATATTTGAGAAATTAGTATTTATAAAAACATACTTGACAAGGCAAAGCCTTTTGTTTTTCTTTACAAACTGTAGTTCATTAGCAAAACATTAAGGTAAAATTTATTTTCTTGGTTAAATGAGAAGAATGTACCATTTTTTCTTTCACCATTCCAACCAAAAAAGGGGGCAAAACTATAAATAGAATGCAATGGCTAGGTGCCAACACCAAGAAGGAAGGGGAAACAGACTTTCTCATTGATTTTTAAAAAGAAACCTAAGGCTAACCACAAGCTTGACTTGTATTACTTAAGGGGAAAAACATGTCTAGTTGCAGACATTTATAGTTGTTTACTTAATTGTGTAATATTTAAAAGCAATATGAAGCAGTAAGGATGTGGTTCAAGTGGTAGAGCACCAGCTTTGAATGGGAAAAAAGTCAGCAAAATCATGAAGCCCTAAGTTCAAGCCCCAGTACTGGTGTGTGCATACATGCATGTGCACGCACGCGCACGTGCACACACACACACACACACAAACACACACACTCAAACATGCACTCACACAAATATAAGAATAAGATGCATTGTTACAGTTAGACTGAAAGCAAAACCAGAATTCCCTTTCCATGTGCATTATGTAATTTGTCTAGAGTTTTAGAAAAATAATTAGTTGATTATAGAAATTATGCAGCTGGATGGCTCTTTAGTGGCCTAATTGAAGCCTACTGTATGTATATGTAGATACACTTGTAAAAAGTTTGGTGACTTTCTCAGTTCCATAGGGATTAAGTGGAGGACCCAGAGTTCACCTTGATCTACCTGTATATCAACCCTGTGCTCCCTAGGCTGGCTGGTCATGTGGCCTCTGGCCAGCCCATAATGCCCCCAAGAAGTGGCAGCTGGCTGAGGTTCTGGAATACTAGCAGTTAAGAATTTTGTGCAACCTACCTTACTCCATCATTTCCCAAACTTCCTTCATCATAAAACTTCCTTACCTTTTAGCAGAAATAGAGTTAGAGAGAAATCCAAAGTGATACAAGAATCCCTGTTCTCCAGATCTGGGAGAAGCAGGTCTCACAAAGGCTAGCAACTCTTTGCATAGTAATTGACACAGAATGGCAATGGCTGAAGACAGTTCTTCCTTGTAATTCGCTTCGTGCGTAAGTAAAGTTTGTGTTAGTGATAAACTAGCTTGCATCAAATGTCTAAAAAAGCAAGAGGTTGGGCTCATGCCATCTGACATATCTGTCAAAGGAAATGTTAACTTGCACAGTTAACCAGTGCATGGCTGTCCTCTTTCTTCGCTATTCTTCATGGTCTCCCTGGAAGTGTGTTTTTGCCTATGGTCATACCTTCAAAGCAGTAGACTGCTTTTAATAACACTGCTCAAGAGGGGTAGAGGAACAGGGAAACACAATTATAAGCAAATGTTTTTTAAACATGTATTTGTCTCGTAGTCCTTTCATAAAAACAGCCAGTGAAATGCATTCTTGTCATCCTTTGAATATGTGGGATGCCTTACGAAAGGCATACATAGGGAACCACAGGTTTAACTTCATGGGAAATGGGAAGAAAACCAAACATATTTACTCACTCGATCACTGGTAACCTCCCCCACCACCTTGCCTTGTGATTTTAAATATAAGTTCTACTAAAATACTGATGAATGCTGTAATTATATAAGCTTTAATAACTGTGAATTATGAATTCTCTTTATAAGTACCCAATTTATGACAGAAAGGCTGAATGAGGGAGCAGGGAGCAGTAGAACAGAATAACTATTTGTTAGACAAACTACAACAGAGATGTATGAAGGAAATCGAATATGAGCAAGCTGGTGAAAGTCAACATAGAAAACGCTCTCGCTTTGTTTTGAAACACTTTATTTCCAAGACATCTCTAAACATTAGAGTACAATGTGAATTTTAACTGCAATGATTATTTCTGAATAACAACATGTTCTACTCAGATTAATGACTAAATTTGCAAATGAACTCAATTCCAGAAGGAAACAATGTGAGATTACATAAGTACTTTACATTGAAGAAAAGTTGAATCTTAGTAACATTTGAACAAATATTTTTATATCATGAGAAGTAATGTTATTAATGAGAAAAGCACTTTGCCAACATCAGACTTGTGCCTTCTAGGTTTTGTTTCCATGTAATAAGATCTTACCCCAAAAGTGCCATTTACCCCAGCGCATTTGTTCTAGTTTGGGGCCTTGAAGGCTCACCAATATGATTTCATCAGCATACCATTCTTCCCTTCCTCCCTCTTAAACCACAACTCTTTGAGGCCAAGGACTATACTACCTCTGGATATTTGGTATTCAATGTGGAATTGGTTCATAAAATCTATTTGTCGCCGGGTGCTGGTGGCTCACACCTGTAATCCTAGTTATTCAGGAAGCTGAGATCTGAGGATTGCAGTTCAAAGCCAGCCCAGTCAGGAAAGTCCATGAGACTCTTATTTCCAACTAATCACCTCAAAAACTGGAAGTGGAGCTGTGGCTTTAAGTGGTAGAGCACTATTCTTGAACAAAAGAGCTCAGAGAGCACCCAGGACCTGAGTTCAAACCCCAAGACCAGCACAAGAAACTTAAAAAGCACGTGAAAGTGCATTATTATCCGTTTTTAACTCCTTCAAGCCTTTTCTTATGACTGTGGAATGATAAAGGCAAACCACTCTGACAGATTTATTTACTTTTATTTACTAGATCCTCTCCAAGACAGCAACAAGAAAGAGGATATGAAAATAAAGAAACAATTTCCAATTGGATTTTCATCCAAAGAATTCAGAATGCTGCTGGTGGATATGATCTGAATGTATCCTGCAGGAATTCTCCAATGTGTTTACAGTCCTCTCAAGGATACCATGTGCTATTGCTAACTTTAGGACTAACCCTTTCCGTTTTCTAGTGGTTAACTGGAAGATAAGGGGACTTTCCTCCCTGGGTGGTTTTGAACTGTGACCCTCAAATCTCATCCTCTTGAGTAGCTAGGATTACAGGCATGAACACTAGCACCTAGTTCATAATGGTTTGGGTTTTTTTTTTGTTTGAGTTTTGTTTTTTGTTTTTGTCATGGGGCCTGAACTCTGGGCCTGGGTGCTATACATGAGCTCTTCAGCACAAGGCTAGCACTCTACCACTTGGGCCACAGTGTCATTTCTGGCTTTTTCTGCTTATGTGGTGCTGAGGAATCAAACCCAGGGCCTCATGCATTCAAGGCAAGCACTCTAATACTGAGCCACCTTCCCAGCCCCCAAAATGGCTTCTTAAATTACCTCTAATGTTTCATATTCTACTGGAAAGAATTATCAGTATCTCTGACTTAGGTAATAATAATCCAATTTATGCATGTTTTGTTTATGTCCCTGTTTTTTTCTCTCTCTCACTGAAGTAATCAAAAATAAAACCCAGAAGCCAAGAAAACTGCAACAATATATTTATTGGAAATGAATTTGACATGACATTAATTTGATACAGATGCAAAATATATGGAGTATAGTTGATGTAACATGTTTAAAGAGTCACAAATGAAACAGAAAAACTGACTGTCAAGAGAAAAGACTATCTGAGTCACCTTGATCTCTGAACACCATGATGCAATTCATAAGGTTGACCCTAAACATCCAGAATAAAGTTGAAACTGAGTATCAGAAAGAAGTGACCTTCCCCAACTTGAAGCCCCACTGGCTAACACCTGTGTATCACATCCATAAGGCAAATTCCATTTTACTCTATGATAAGAAGATAGTATTTCTCCTATAGATAGGGAATTTTTAAAACCTCCGAGGTAATACTACCTTCCTATAAATAGGGACATTTTTGGGAAAGCCAAGCAACTAATACTTTGGTGGTCTCAACTAAATGGGATATTTAGAATCACCATCTCCCAGGACCTAGAAGTTACACTAAATTTACTTGCTACTCAGACTTGATTGTTGGACGAGAAATCACACAGCATGCTGATCTACAGGAAGAATGATCGGTTTCACACTGATTAACAGTGCAAATGGGGTTTCTGTGGTTTATCAAGGATTTCTGAAATCCTCAGAGCTTGATACTTACCCTACATGAAACATTTCAGATTATGAAAAACAAACTCTCTTTGAAGAAAACTACCCTAAAGAATCCATCTGTGAAGCCACAAGTCCTGCAAAAATAAAAAATACAAATACAAAAGGCAGTAACAATAAATACATTTTGGAAAAACAAAATGTCTACGTCCATTTCAGAGGCACTATCACAAATTCATCTCAGCTGTGAAGGTCTGCATGGGTACTTTGAAAATTAACTTTTCTTATATATATCCAGCACGCAACAGTGTCCACCAATAAGCTATTCGTACACAGAGACACTTCAAAGACCAAATATAGAATTTTAGGGTTTGGTTGGGCTGGTGCCATCTTTCCCATCCCTTCCTGGGAATTTCCTAAACATTTCACAGTTCTCCTAAAATTTTTCCATGAAAGGGGAAGATGATGTAGAATTTATTGGAGTCTGTCAATTGGCTAAGCGGGGAAAAGTGCCTAAACACAGGACACCATCTTTGGGAAAAATCAATCATAATTGTCCTTGCTTATCTTATATTGAAAGTAGAGAGAGAACTGATTTGAGAGCTTTCATGGTAATTAGCATGGGAAAATGTCAAATCTACATCACTTGGCAAAGGGTAGCCAAGCATAATGGCAGAAATCATTTAAACAAAAAGGGAGAAGACTAATCTATGCGATTTAGGTCCAAAATTCTATTTCTGAAGCCTGATGGTTTCTGCTTAAATGACCAGGATGTTCCAAACTGCTGTAAAATTAGCAACATTATCCTTTACCTTGAGCTGGGTAGATTCAGCCACGATGTCCCGCTTTTTCCTTAGGATATCTAAAATGAGGCCTAGCTAGACTCAAAACTCATAGAGACACAACCCTGTTAGCACGAAGCCATCGCCTTCCTCAATATCCCAAAGGACTGTGCCTAACAACCAGTCATGTGTCTCTACAGACAATGTCAGTAGAATTTAAGACAGATACACATGAAGTTAACAGCAGTGTTTCCACCTTCCGCCCTTGAGTGAAACATGCTATTCTTTGGAGGAAAAAAAAATACATTCATTTTTTTTCAAGTATATTTCAATATTCATAGATGTTATCTAGCTTTGTTTCACTACAAAGGCAAACAAAAAAAAACACTTTTTCTACATGTCCATGGGGAATTTCACTTCAACTTCCCTTTGGCGAAAATTTCATAAAGTTTCTGGCTGAAATAAAAAATTGTTGTAAATATAAGTCTACTCGGCATATTTGAAAGCATGAACTCTTTATGTCCATTTTACATATATATATATACTATATATATATACATAGGCAGCAACAACAAGAAAAAAAATCAGTCTGGATTTTCTGTACAATGGCTTAGGATTGGCACATTCTGCTCACCAGGGGCTCGGCACCAGTGCACGGTGGCTCTTCCAGTTTCTGGTCCAGTGTGAGCCAGCTGCATGCAAGTGCTTCCTCAATCCAATGCAAAGGAGGGCTTGGTGCTGAGGCTGCGTGTTGGGAATTATGGCTTATTTCCTGCCTTGGCTTTGTTGTTAGGGTTGCAGTTTAAGTCTCTCAACAGCATCTCACAGTTGGCAAGAGCTTCTCCAGGCACCAGCTTCCGAATTTGTTCCACTGTCTTTTGATAAGCCATTTTTTCTTGTTCCAGGGTTCGGATTAAAGTCTTCATTTTGGTTTCTCTGGTCAAAAGATTTTCCAGGTTTGATTCCAAGGCCTGGATTTTGGCATGAGCCACCTATATGAGGAGAGAAAAAAATAAATAAATAAACAACCCTCTAAATCAAGAAAATGTGGTATATATACCTACCATGGAATTCTATGCCTCCATTAGAAAGAATGTCACCATTCCATTTATTAGGAAATGGAAAGACTTGGAAAAACTCTTACGAAGTGAAGTAAAGCTAGACCCAAAGAAATATAGGTCCCATGGTTTCCCTCATTTGCAATAATTAGTGTACATCTAGGATAATCTTATTAGATAAGCAGAAAAGCTCAAAAGCTTATTACATAAGATGATGCTAAGTGAAATGAACCCCAAGATATGGACACAAGAGGTCTGTCTTTGTTGTTGCTGTTGTTTTTAATGTACTATATGATTTTTTGTTTCCTTTGTATGTTCTTCCCCCTATGGGATACCTCCTGTTTTCACTCTGCTTGATTTTGGTACCCTTCACCTTGTACACACATTAGTCTAATTTGGGGAGGGGAAGGAGAATAACAAAATGTCGAAACAAGGACACAGGATGACCCACTGCAACAAGACAATATATGGGAAATCATCTTTACAACTTCGGGTCGGGGGGAGGAGTAAGAGAGGTGGGGAAGGGAAGGGGTTGTGGAAGAACAACAAGGGAGGGGGTAACAACGCTCAACAAGAAATGTAGTCATGGGGCTGGGAAGGTGGCTCAGTGGTAGAGCGCTTGCCTTGCATGTATGAGGCCCTGGGTTCGATTCCTCAGCACCACATAAGCAAAAAGAAAAAAAGCCAGAAGTGGCACTGTGGCTCAAGTGGTAGAGCACTAGCCTTGAGCTGAAGAGCTGAGGGACAGCCAGGCCCAGAGTTCAGGCCCCACGACTGGACCCCCCCCAAAAAAGGAAATGTACTCATTACTTTACTCATGTGATTCTAAGCATCTTTACAATAAAATAATTAAAAAAAAATTAAAACAAGCCAGATGCCAGTGGCTACCTACTCAGGAGGCTGAGATCTGAGGATCATGGTTCAAAGCCAGCCAACTCAGGAAAGTCAGTGAGACTCTTATCTACAACTAACCACCAGAAAACTAGAAGCAGAGTTCAAAGTGGTAGAGCATTAGCCTTGAACCAAAAGAGCTCAGGGATAGTGCCTAGACTTGGAGTTAAAGCCCCATAACTGGCAAGAAAAAAATATTTTTGAACAGTCTGGATCTTTATTATAACTTCAGCCAGGTCCCAAATTCAGGATTAACCAATTGAATCAAATTACTTAATTATTATTAAGTAATTAGTTATCATTATTATTACTATTTTATTATTCATTATTGTTTTTGAAACAATATTGTAAACCTACATGAAATTAAGATGTTTAGGTTGCTCAAAAAAATAACTACTGGGTTCTAGGGTTGTAGTTCTATGGTAGAACCTTTGTCTGGTACACACAAAATACTGGATTTTGTGCACCAAAAAAAGTTTAATTTAAAAATATATGCATGTCTTCAGGCACCAGTGACTCATACTTGTCATCCTAGCTATTCAGGAGGTTTGGGATCTGAGGATCTCGATTCAAAGCCAGCTTGGGCCAACAACTCTAAGAGACACTTATCTCCAAATAACCAACAAAAAACTGGAAGTAGAGTGGATCAAATGGATCACGTGGTAGAGCACCAGCCATGAGTGAAAAAAGCCAATTGAGAGCCTGAAGTCCTAAATTTAAGCCCTAGTACTAACATGCACACATACGTGTACACACACACACACACACACACACACGCCTCCTAAGAACTGGGACTATAGGCATCTACCACCGTACCCATCTGTACCTGTAATTTTTCAAGGAGGTCCATGTTCTGCCTCTTTAGGTGGTTGTTGGCCCTCTCGAGCTTCTCCAAAGATTCGTTGTCCTCACAGGCAAAGGACGATTCTTGCAGCTCATCCTGCAGCACATGATACTCCACTTCATAGGCATGCAACTGTTTGGAAATATCCATCTCAAAAACCTGCATACAAACAACAGGGGTGAGGCCAGTCTTTTATACACAAACCACAAAACAATCTGTGCACACTGGTGGACTTCAGGGTTAGCTCCAACCACTTATTATATATGGGTGCAGGGATGGAACCGCCTCCCTCTGGTTCTAATGACTGGATCCCTGTCCACATGGCTGGAATGGTTCCTTCCTTTGAATCATTGAAGGGTGACGCTGTTCCTATTTAAGCTTTATAAAACTTGGATCAATCTGTGCCATTTTGGAGTTGAGAAAACAGACTCAGAAGAATAGAGTGGTATGTCAAGTGAAACAACTAATAAACAGCCACTGACAATAAAAAATGATTTCTTGATAAGGAAAGTCATTAAAAACATAAAGTACTTTCTAATTCCAAAGCCTATGTTCTTGCTTGTGTGTGTTACGGGACAGCTCATAATATTACAAAGGCAGTGAACCTCATTTTATTCTTCAGTCATACTATCTCTCTCTTTGGTCTTAGCATTGCTTTAAATTGAAGGATTTCTGAAAAACTCTTCATGTAATGCTCTAAACTACATTTCCTGTACATAGCTACATAGAAAATATCACAATGGAGAAGTTTCAAATGCATCTGATCAATGTAAAATTTAACATTCTTTAGCTGGGGATGTGGCCAGTGGTGGAGAACTTGCCTATTCAATCCTCAGCACTGAAGAAAACAAACATAAAAAGTAAAAATAATCTTGAAAACAGTAAGATCTGTCAAAAAAGCTATATTTTTTGGTACTAAAGCTTTATCAGATAATCAATAGAAAGCTGCCATATAATCTTATGATCACTTAAATTTTACCTGGGTAATAATTTTTTCCATTTCAGAGGAGTTCATATCAGGAAGCGTGCTTTTGAGAAATTCGACAATATTTTCAAAGTTTTCACACTCCATTATAAGTGTCTCTTGGTTGCTCAGTAAGCTGAGTGCAACCTTAAATATAACTTCAGTTCCCTGAAGAAAAATCATATCTAAAAGAAGAGATATAATTTGCATAACCAAAAATAAGACATGCCTGTATATAAATAGAACTGAATTTCTTTTGGACAATTTATTCCAATAAATAATTTTCTAAGAGCTATGTATCATTGCAAAGATTTTTTTGGGGAAAGTATTTGTTTTACAGCTACAGCAGAACCAGAAAATATTCTGCAAATGAAAACTGGTCAAACCATCTACTTTAAAGAAAATTAATATGAAGCTGGTGCTTGTAGGCCATGCCTATATTCCTCATCACTCAGGAAGCTGATATCTGAGAATCACAACTCAAAGCCAGCCAGAGAAGAAAATTTCAAGCGACTCTATTTCCAATTAACTAGCAAAAAGCTGGCCTCAATGAATGTGGTAGAACATAAGCCATGAACAGAAAAATCTGAGTGAGAGCTCAAGGCCCTGAGTTCAAGCCCAATAAACAGCCCATACACAAATTAATATGACTGAAACATATGAACAAGGACTTGCATATCCCTTACTTCTTAAAAATCTCAGATAAGATTAAGGGGATAAAAGACAAATTATATGTATATGTCTATGTATTATTTGTATTTAATAGCAAACTTGACAAAGACTAGGTAAATCCTTAAATGTTCAACTGCTATTTACAATTTCCCCAATAATTGAACACTAAAAACTATTAGAATTATTTAAAATCTTTTTTTTTTTTTTTTGGTCATGGAGCTTGAACTTTAGCCTTGGCGCCTTTCCCAGCTCTTCAGCTCAAAGTGAGCACTATACCACTTGAGCCACAGCACCACTTCCAGTTTTCTAGTGGTTAACTGGAGATAAGAGTCTCACGGTCTTTCTTACTCAAGCTGGCTTTGAACCGTGATCCTCAGATCTCAGCCTCCTGAGTAGCTAGGATTACAGGCATGAGCTACCAGTGCCTGGCTATTTAAAGTCTTATAAGAGAAAATCAAGGGGAAATTTATTATGGAATGAATCAAGCAACAAATTTTAAAAAATTTAGAAGAAAAACAACAACAAAAATAACCTAAATCAGACGAGAAAAAGTACTACTCTAACTCTAGACTCTACCAGACAGATTGGCAGAATGTGAAAGTACAGGTGGTCTCGGAGGATCAGGTATCAAACCTCTAGAAAATAGTGGTGTTTATTGATTGACAGGTTGTTTTATTTTTTTAAGATAGAGACTTTTTTTTAATTTTAGACTTTTCTAATTAAATAATTGTGAATAGATTAAAGGGCTCCCAAAGGGAGCCCAAACCTGTCACACTCTGTTTTTTCCTACTGCCAAATACCATGAGCGGAACTACATAGATACAGATACAACATGCCCAGTGGTACTTAGTGATTGTCTCTCTACCAGCTGGTCTCAGAGATATACAACTCTACCCTCCACTGGCACAAGTCACTTCTACAAAGAAATACCATTAAAGTGACCCTGTCAACAATAAAAACAGCAAGCAATGCCACTAGAAATAACATAAAAAATAAATACTTCCAGCTGGGCAGGAAAGTCCGTGAGACTCTTATCTCCAGTTAATCATCAGAAAACAAAAAGTGGCCATGTGGCTCAAAGTGGTAGAGTGCTAGCTTTGAGTGAAAAAGCTCAGGGACAGAGCCCAGGCCCTGAGTTCAAACCCCATGACTGACAATAAATGAATAAATAAATAAATAAATACGTACTTCCACAGACACATAATTCTCTGTGTTTTAAATCCAAGTTAGAGAAGACAATGGAAAAGGAGGGGAAAACACACACACACACACACACACATACACAAAGAAAAAAATCTGCAAAATTATACAGGCATGACCCTCTTCCTGATTTTTTTAAAATGTATATTAAGCTTATTTAAACCTTAATTGAAATTAAGATCTCCAATCCTGCTAAAACACAGACGCACAATTCTTTCCCATTCTACTTTATCTTGAAAACAATACCATTTCTTCAATTCACGAGCAATTTGACAGAATTGCTGGTTTTATGATAAAAGAGTCAAGGTACCATATGGCTAGACATACATCCCTGGCTTAAGCAACTCTGTGTCTCAGGTGAAGCTAGCCATTTCTTACCAAAAATTCGGGCTACAAATCCTAACGGAAACTGGGAGGCAAAGAGTGTAAGGAACCAAGGGGCAGCATAAAGGCTGGGGCTGATCTCATTTTCCTCCAGATGATTGTAGAGTTCTCGGTGGTAGTCATGAAGGAGCCGGGACAGCTGGTACATTTGAATCTAAAGTTCATTTGGAGAAAAAAAAAATAGTATAGATTAACCTGAGTGTCAATGTACTAAATATTAATTTTACTTTTCTAATTTTAATAACAAATTGCATATACTAAGTAAATAAGAAAAGTACTATGGTTTAGCCAGACACTGGTGGGTCTCACCCATCAGCTATTCAGGAGGCTGAGATCTGAAGATTATGGTTTGAAGCCAGCCCAATCAGGAAATTCCACGAGACCCTTCTTTCCTACTGATTACCAAAAAAAGCTGGAAGTAGAGGGAGCGCTTCAGTGGTAGAGCACTATCCACCTCCATCATGTTGTTGGGAAATTGGAAATGAGAGTGTTGTGGACTTTTCTACCCAAACTGGCGTTGTACCTCAATCATCAGATCTCAGCTTCCTGAGAAGCTAGGATGCCAGGTGTGAGCCACCAGTAGCTGACTTACAAAAGCTTTTGTTACCTTAAAATCATGAGAATTTGTGTGTGTGTGTGTATGTCAGTACTAGGACTTGAACACAGGACCTGTGCACTGTTCCTGAGCTTTTTTGCTCAAAGCTAGTGCTCTACCAGTGGAGCTACAGCTCCTCTTCCAGCTATTTGAAGATAAAAGTCTTGTAAAATTTCCTGCTTGAGGTGGCTTTCAACTATAATTCTTAGATCTCTGCCTGAGTAGCTAGGATTATAGGCATGAGCCACCAGTTCTCAAGAGAAATTTTTAAGTGGAAAAATCACTGCCTTTTATAACTGATAGCTGTATCTTCCTTCCAAATCAAATTCTATTCAGATACTTTTTGTTCTCTGAAATCTACTGATAGTCACCAATTTATTGTTTCTGAACAGAGCTTTTGAACTCCCTACCAAAGTGGCTGTTTGTTCTATCCAGTATAAGATGTAGGTGAACTGTTCAGAAATAAGGGGGAAATAGAGACTGAAAAGTAGAGCACTTGTCTGACAAAGTATGGGGCACACTCCAGCAGGACCAAAATAGTAAGTGAAAAAATATAGTCTATGGTTATTCTCTGACTTGTCAAAAAAAAAAAAAAAACCTAAGAATAGTCATCAATTTGTTCTTCATCTGGGCGCTGGTAGCTCATGCCTGAAATCCTAGCTACTCAAGAGGCTGAGATCTGAGGATTGTGGTTCGAAGCCAGTCCAGGCAGGAAAGTCCATGAAACTTAGCTCGAATTAACTCCCAGAAAACTAGAAGTGGCACTGTGGCTAAAAGTGGTAGAGTGAAAGAGCTGAGGGACAGC